TCTCCCTTGGCCCTTCAGTCCTGAGAATCAGGCTTCCTCCCTCGGCAGCAGGAGCACGTTGTCCTCCCTCCCTTGTCTTGTGTCTCATCCTCTGCCTTCTCTCTTCCCCCTCCAGCCTCCACTCCTTCGCCGACTCACCCTCTCCCTCTCCTGCTGCCCCCCTCTTTCTCCCCCACCTCTTTGTTTCAGCTGAGAACCGGCTCCCCGGGACAGTTCCCACACTGCAGTGCCTCTGGTGAAGAGACAGCGCCACTGAGGTGAGCTCCGGGGATTCAGGGACACAGGCATGGGGTAGCCGGAGCCCCGGGGGTGGGCAGGTGGGGAGAGTGGACAGCCCAAGCTGGTCCGCGTCTCTGTCCCCGGAACGCAATGGGACACAGTCGGAGTGGCAGCTGCAGGTGCCCCAGTGGTCAGCGAGATCCTAGGGTGGAGGGACAAGGCTGGCTGGGAGTGGGCAGGCTGTCCCTGCCCTGGTGCCTGGCTTCTGTGGGTGGTCCAGGGGTGAGGGAGACCCTCAGTGGGGCCCACAGGGTGGGTGGGAGCTGGGCTGCCTGGAAAAGCCCACCCCTGAAGGTCTGTTTGCCATTCCTGGAGCCCAGGGCTGACCCTTGCCCAGGCTGGGCTGCAGTTGTGGGTCACCTCGTGGCAGCAGAGGTACTGAGCCAAGGGGGTGTGACCCCCACAAGTGCCTGTCCCCGGTAGGGTTGGGCTGCAGATGGAATGTGCAGGAGTGGGGATGTAGAGGAGAAATCCATCCCCTGCCCCAGGTTTGCAGGTTTCCCTCCAAGCCTGGAGATCCAACACAGCCCCCTCTAGGGATCTTTGAGTAGCTCCCCACAAATGAGGTTCGCAGGACAGCTCCACCTATAGTTGTGAACAGGAGGGTTTCAGACCAGAGCCCAGATGTTCCTATAGGCAGCTTCCCGGATCTGGACTGCAATGGGAGCCCCTAGGGCAGAGGTGGGGTGACACAGCTGAGGCTACAAGTGCACTTACTGGGACAACCCAGAACCATCAGAAGATCCTAAGAACCTAAAGCAGGGCAGTGAATGGGAACTGGCAGAAGCTGTGGTGGCCCCACCCCCTTCTCAGCTGGTGATACGGGTGGAGGCTAGGGAGGCTGTGACCAGGACTAAGAAGCTCACACCTCCTCAATAGCCAGAAAAGGCTGGGAGTGTGGAGACCCCAGGGAGGACCTTCCCTGTGGGTACATGCTGATTCCAGGCTACACGGGCAGGGCAGCCCAAGGAGCCAGTGGTGAGAATCATCCTGGTGGTGGGTGTGACATCACAAGGCAGAGCTGCTAAGGGCAGTGGTTGCTCTAGCCATTCAGGCACATTTCCCAGGACTGACCCTCTCTTGCCCTTGGCAAAACCCCCTAATTTGAGCACAACAGCAGCTACCCGCTACTCCAACCCCCAGCCCCCTGGTACAGCATCACATAGAGAGGTCAGCGGAGCTGGTACAGGGCCAAATGTCCACCCCAGCCCACCCCTTCCAGCCACTACGGGTAGCCTGAGCCAGTGGATGAGTAAAGCCTTGGGACTGGCTTTACTGGTAACTTAGGAAGGGAGTTGACCAGCAGACAGCTCTGCTGTCCCTCTCGAGCTGGGCATGGCTCACTACAGCCCCATAGTCCCATGTCACAGGGCAGGTCATTGGCTTCCCACCACCCAGGGGGTGTCAGTGTCCCCCAGCCCATGCACACACCAAATCCTCTCAGTAAGAATTCCCATTCCCAGGCCAAGCCAGTTCTCCATCTCTCCAGGCTGGGTGTCATGTGCCCCTCACACAGGATTCAGACCCAGGAGAAGGCAGGCTGCCCACACTATTTTCTTCAGCCATGAGATGGTGCTCTTCCAGGCTGGGTTACATTATTCTAACTCCAACTGACCCCCGCCCCGCCTCCACCTTTACCTGCTGCTCCAGGACCATGCACCATCCATTTTAGCCATTAAAGGCTAAAATACCAACCCCTAGGTGCCATTTTAGAGCACTTGCCTAGTATTTACAAGGTCCTGGGTTCAATCCCTGGCACTGAAGAAAATAAATAAACAAACAAACCACTCCCTGCTTGTGTCAGCCCGATGCCAGAGGGCAGGAAGTTGCTAACTCAGCCTCAGTCAACACCAATGCCAGCTGGCTGTAACCCTGGCCCTGGCAACAAGGGGCCTCCCTAGGCCAAGATCTCCCTGCAATTGTCCTCAGAAGACACCAATGCCTCTCCTTTCTTTCCCCCTTTTCCCGAGCTTCCCACTTGCACAGAGCTTTCTAGGAGACCCAACTATTACAGACACCTCCCAAAACAGTGGGCAAGGCAAGGATGTTGTTCCCATTAGAGAAAACTGAGGCTGGGAGAAAGGAAAGTGGCAGGTCCAGGACAGAGACCTAAGACCTTACTCCCACTCCAGTACTCCTTGTAGGCCACTGCCAGCTAGACAAGATCCTACGTGAGGATAGTCTCTCCATCCGCTAAAACATCCATCGGCTGCACTGTCTCTCCTCAAGCTCCCAATGGCATTTCCAGAAACAGAAAGGTTATTATCCCTTGGGATATTTGATCCAGAGCTACCAGCCTTGGTTCCAAAGTGGACATCTAAAAGGTCAACCAGACTGGCTGAAGGCTACAGGGCTGAGGGTTCAGAGGGGAAGTAGAGGGTGTTCTTGGGGCTCTGTCATATACATCTCTCCACCTGTGACCCTCAAATGACTTCATCCCCTACTGTTGTCAAGTAGTTCCTTTAGAAATGGCTCACCAAAACTGAGCATGGTGGCTCATGCCTGTAATCCCAGCACTCGGGAGGCTAAGGCAGGAGGATCACTGAATTTGAGACCAGCCTGGGCTACATAGTGAGTTCCAGGTGAGACCCTGTCTCAAAAAAACAAAAAACAAAAAACAAAAAAACAAAAAAACAAAAAAAAAAAAAGAAGAAAAGAAATGGCTCATCAATTAAATGCATTCCAGGTTCTTCTTGCCTTAAACAAAGAATTGGATGAGACAACCCAAAAACAGCACCTGAAGTTTATTTGAAAAGTGAGGGGTGAAGGGGTAAGGGAAAAATTGACTCTGTAGAGCAAGCTAGCAGAACAAAGAAAGTACAAAAGCAAAAACTAAAACTGCATTCTGCATCTGACGCCAAGTGGGTTACCAAGAGGAGTCATGGAGTGGGCTCTTCATGGTGTCTGGATTCTTACAAGCCATCCACATCTCGTGGGAACCCACACACAGAAGTTCCACACACAGGGTCCTGGGGATTATTTTGCACTGACTTGGAAACTTGTAATTGACAGGTTCTGTTTATTTCCCCAGCCAGCTTTGCCACATCCCCTACAGTAAAGAAAGTTACACTCAGCATCAAAGTCCTGAAATACCCAACGGCATCATTCCCTGACAAAATCTTCATGAGAATTGCCACAGCTATCAGTGTGAAGTTAACTAACTCCCTCTTCCAAGAACACAAGCTTCTTTGTCAATGAGCCTCTGCCAGTCTACCGGACCCCCTTGCCGGAAGCCTAATCAGTGACTGGCCATGAGTAGCACCAGTCACATTCACACACACACACACACACACACACACACACACACTGAGGGCAGCCCTCCAGCCTGCCCTTGCCTGCAACTTGGCAACCTGTACTAACGCACTCCCAAGGGTGAGGGCTGAGGCTGGAAGGTGTATCTAGGGCTGCTAGAACACCAGAGCACAGGCACTGATGTGAGGACAACATCCTGAGACTCTGGTCAAGGTCAGCAGGACAGAAAGTGACACAAGCTCTCCCCACACCTCCTAGTCCCAAGCCCAGCTTGCCTCTCTCTCCTCCATGATCCTGAGCATGGTTTGCATGAGTCAAGGCTCAACATCATGAACCCCTGCTAACTACGCTGTACAGAACCCATGTGGGAAAAGGAGGATCTTCCCAGGAACACCAGCCCTGGCCTAGAGCCCTCTGCACCCTCAGGGTGGAGGCCAGGACCACAGAAGCAGCCCCAGGCCTCGCTGTTCTCTATGGCTTTTTATTCCTATGTGATTCTACTGCTCACTCATATAGGGATTGGAGCCGTGGTGCACGGTGAGGATAGCCACCAAAGGGCTCTGACTTTGAGCAAGACAACCTGAAGTAAGCTGGGACAGTGGCACCTTCTCCCAACACAGGCTGCCAGCCAAGCCAAGGGAGCATTCTGCTGCTACTTGCCTCCCTACTCACCGATTTTATCACCAGCTGTAGCAGAAGGGGCTATTGGATTCCTTCATTGCTCTGACCCTATTGCAGTGCTTGGAGACCCAACTGAAAGGCTGACCCCACCAGGTCTGAACTATGTCCCAGAGTTTGCTGAAGGACCTGTGAATGTTCAGCACAGGAAAATGGAGCTGGCAACAAGAAAGCAAGGTCCAGTGTCTTGTAGGCTAGAGAAGACCCTGGATAAATAGACGGCTAGGAAGTGGGACAGAGTGCAGCTCAACCAAAGCTAAGGGCTGCCCGAATACAGAAGGGATGTCCTCGGAGGCAGGCAGTGAAAATTAATCCAACAAAGCATACAGGAAGTTGGAGAGACTGTGCCAAGGATGCCACGGGGAGTTATGGTTGGATGGTACCAATGTTTAGGCCTATCCCTACTTACCCACATTGAGGCTGTTGGGAACCAGGTTTCAAAGAGGCAAATGCAGCCTCCCATTTATATATAATAAGCCCTGTGTGCCCAGCAGAGAAGCACAGGAAATTCCTGTCAGGTTCTGGCACCATGGCTGTAGTCATACAACACTCCCCTTCCCAACAATTTCCTGTAAGTCTCAAGGGAAATACACATAAAGGAAAGATGCACATAAAACACACAGTGTGGTCCTTTTTATTTCATCTTTCTTTTTTGTTGTTGTTGTTGTTTTTGGTACCGGGGATTGAACTCGGGTCTTTGCGCTTGCAAGGCAGGCCACCAAACCACTGAGCTAAATCCCTGGCTTATTTCATCTTTCTTTTTTGTGGTTGTTGTTGTTTTTGGTACCGGGGATTGAACTCGGGTCTTTGCGCTTGCAAGGCAGGCCACCAAACCACTGAGCTAAATCCCTGGCTTATTTCATCTTTCTAACTTCACTCCACAGAAGAAAGAGGCTGAAGGGCTCCTCTAAGAGACTGCGCAGGGGAGAACTAAGACAGTGAACTTGTCCTGGTCTTCAGGGCTGCCTGATGCCACGGCAGAAAGCAAGGATGGAGAGGAGCTTCCATCTACAAACCTCATTCAGAGAGGTGGGAGATAGGAGAGCCAACCAAGCAGCCAGAGATGAGAAGGGGAGGAGTCCTAAAGCACAAAAAGGTCCTAGGGACCCACTCTGGTCTTCCCTTTCTGCTCTTGTAGGCCTTTTCTGAACTTATGCCATCACTGAGGCCGCAGCAACAGGAGGTGGGCGTCCATGACGTTGGTACCTGTCAGCCCTGTGTATAACAGGTGTGTTCCACCCTGGAGGCGGCAGAAGAAGGTGTGTGAGTCATTGTGGGCTAGGAAAGTGGTCACATCCAGCCCCTGAGAAGCAGCCTGGCTCATAAGCTCAGGCATGACCCAGGCCCCAGCAGCCTCAGTGGGCCCATCCTGCCCATCAGTGCCACCACTCAAAAATAGTACATCAACAGGCCCCAGTGACCATTTTGCAAGCTCTGCTCCAACACGCAGGGCCAGTTCCTGGTTCCGGCCACCCTTGCCTGACCCCTGCAGCTGTACTGTGGGCTCCCCACCAGCCAGCAGGCAGACCGGGCCCTGAGCCTCCACTACAGCCTCCAGCACCTCCTCCAGCTGCAGGTCTGAGAGCTGGAGCTCAGCTGCAAGCTCACGGAGTTTTACAGTCTCCTCCACAGAGGCCCCAGCTGTGGCTGGGATGAGGTGAGCTCCAGCCACACGGGCCAGCAGCCCATAGAAATGAGCCACACTTTTCACATCACCCTGTATGGCTGCACTCAGCACCACCGCCCGATAGCCCAGAAGCTGGGCCTGCCTCTGAGCCTCAGCCAGGGCCAGCACATTAGAACCAATGATCACATTGAGGACATGACCACAGGTATGTGGGCCACGGGGGTCAGAGTCAGCCTGAGCAAGCACAGTCTTCACAGAACGAGGAAGAGCAGCACGAAGTCCATAGCGATTGAGGATATACAGGCAATCTTGCACACTGTGGGTACTAGCCACTGTGGGACCGCTGGCAATCACCTCCACAGGGTCTCCCACCACATCTGACAGGATCAGGCTCACCACCTGAGAAGGACCACAGCACAAGGCTCAATCCCACCTTCTCCTTGCACCAGAGCCCACAAGGACAAACTGCCCCCTGAGTATCTTCCATCCAGGGCATTGCCTCTAGCTCATTTCTTCTTCTTTTACAGCACCAGGAATTAAACCCTGGCATTCACGCTGTGCTATATACTGTTTTTTCGAAACAGGTTCTCACTAAGTCACTAAATTGCTCAGGCTGGGCTCAAACTTGAGATTCTCCTGTCTCAGCCTCCCAGAGTACCGGGATTTCAGGCATGTGCCACCATGGCCAGCCTCCTTGCCCACTTTTAACAACACTCCAGTAGGACTGCAGAACACATTGCCATGGGGACACCCTCCCACTCCCTGGGGCCCCTTCTAGAAATTCCTCCAACCTGGCCATGTGAACTCTCACATCAGGCCCCTGCCAATTTGTATGCTAATCTAGGCTTTCATCTCTCCTATGTGGGGAGTTCAGTGCTGCCTGTGAGTGCAACTCACATACCTGGGCAGGGTAGGCAGCCTGAGCCAGCCCTCCACCCTTGAGCTGGGACAGGGCCTTTCGGATGGTGTTCAGCTCCTGGATGGTGGCTCCACGGGCTGCCAGCAGCTTGGTGAGCATCTGTTTCTCCTCTAATGTGACAGGTGGGATGGGGGCAGGCAGCAGGGCCGAGCCCCCACCTGTATGGTCAGGAAAGGCGTCAGATGGAGCGGACATCCCAACCCAAAGAACCAGACAGTAGCAGACAAGCCTGTGAAGGAAGCGAGCTGGGAGAATGGGATTAGGGTGACCTGTGGTGGACATGTAGTAAGCATGTGTATAGTCACAATGCCTGGGCCACCAGAGGATGTCCCCTTGCCATGGGGCACCCCAAAGGTCTCTGCCAGCACTGGAAGAACTAATCATCTCTGAAGAGCCTGGAACATAGGACAGAGCAGGGGAAAAAGCAGAAGGCTAAGGAGAGGGCTTTATGAGGACTGGAGACTAAGTTTAACTCTGGGTACAGTAGTACAGACAGCAGCAGGAAGAGCGACATTTTCCAAGGGCTCTACTGAGGTGCCAGACCTTGCATTAGGCACCTGTGTGAGGTGGCCCTCCCTTTTGTGCCCCTTCAGCATCACCCAACAAGGTCAGCTGGGGGTGGGGAGGACCCTGCAGCTGAGAGGAAGACAGATGGATGGCCCAAAGACAGCTAGGAGGCACCATCCAGGCTCTGCAATGCCTCACTTGTCCCCAACTTCACCTTATGACTCTGGGGGCCCAGATCGGTTCTCAAAGACCTGGTATTTGGGACACACCCCTTCCAGCTGTCCTGAACCAATCTGGCACCCACACCTGAGATAAGCACGAGCAGCAGGTCATCAGCTGTGAGTCCCTCAGCCAGGTGCCGGATGGCCAGCGCAGCCCGAAGTGCATCACGATCTGGTAAGTTGTCCTCTGCACCCTCAAACACCTGGATACGACTGTGTGGCTTCAGCAACATCTCCCTGAGGAGGAAGGAAACAGAGCAAGAGATGGAGTGGGCTCCTCTCCTCCCACTGATTTCTCAGGTGTATATGTGAAAGGGGCATAAAATGAGAATGTCCCCTGACATCCTTCCTGGGGCCAGGCCAGACACAGGAGGAAAGAAAAGCTGGTGAGGAAAAGGCAATCCAGGAAAGTGGGGAGAAGCCCCCCATGGCTCCTTACCGCTTGCCAACATGATCCATGGCAGCACGGATCCCTTTGGGAACGCTGATCACACCCTGCACAAGATGCTGGCCCAATAGCTCCTCCACTGCAGCTGCCATGCCAAGTACAGCCTTGCCAAAGCCCACGAGGTACAGGTTTTGCTGCAGCTGGAAGCTCCGGTCCCGCACCTTTAGCTGTCTGCCATCAGGATCCAAGGACAGTGCCCTTTGCAGCATTGGCCCCGGCTGCACGGCACCCACAGCACTCTCAAACAGGTGTCGTGCCTGCTCTGACAAGGCCATGCCACTGGCCAGCCGGGCCACTGGGGGCCCCCAGAAGAGTGGACGTGAGAGGGCTCGGACCAGACAGGGCAGAACCTGCAGGGCTGCAGCCATGCCCCTCTGCTGTCAGCACCACCTTGTACCCATGGCTACCTAAGGGGAAGAAAGCACAAGTAAGGCCAGAGAAAGAATGCCCACATCACCTCCCGTCTTAGAGCAGGGCTGGCAGACCCCATGGCTGCCACTGCAAGAATAAATTATCTGATGAGTCAAGAGATATCCTGAAGTACACAGCTACCTGATCTTACTCCAGTCCCGCCATCTAGCCAAATCGTCCTCTTCTGCAGATCACACACTGACCTTCTGGCTACTCATGATCCAAGTCCAAAGTTCCCGGGCCCTCCTCCTAGGTCACCCCTTTGGCTGAGAGTTAATCATTTCCAAAGGAAACAATTCCCACCAGTGGGCTCCAGCTCCACCCCTTTTCCACCTCTTGTACTTCTGAGCCCTCAACCAGGGTAATGCCCTTTCTGGCACCAGTGCCTTGCCTCTTTACCACTTCTGCTGCCAGTGGGCTATTCATTGTCCCACCAACTGACCTTAAGCCCACTCACCTCCAGCCTGCTCTTTCATTAGCTCCTGGGACTAGGCTAGGAAGCCTGGGAATGCTGCTTCTGTGTGGCAAAGGTACAGGCTCACCAACAGGGGACACAACCTGAGGAATCCCAGCACTCAGCATTGAGAGAGCAAGGTACAAATCAGGAGTAGCAGCTGGGTAAGGCAGCTCACATCTAAAATCCCAGCACTTGGGTCTGGGGATTTAGCTCAGTGGTTCCACTGCCTGCCTTGCAAGCACAAGGACCTGAGTTCGATCCCTGGTACAAAAAAAAAAAAAAAAGTTTGAGCCCATTCTTAGCAATTTAATGATTTAGCAAGACCCTATCTCAGAATAAAATTTTTTAAAAGAGAGGGTCTGGGGATGTAGCTCAGTGTGATGGCCCTGGGTTCAATCCTATCCCACAAAATAAAAAATTAAATAAAATAAAAATCAGGAGTAGCAGCAAAGACTAGCCTATGGAGGAACCTTAGGAAATCCCCAAGCACTTCATGAGGCTATGTGCTATGGGGCCCAATGTACTGGACAGGAAAAGGTGCCCTTCTACCCACATAGCTACCCAGAGCCAATCCTGCCAAGAACACCCCTTCTGGCTCTCAAACAGCAAAACAAGTCCTGAGTTATATCACACAAAGTGGTATGAGTCCAGTGGCTACCACAGACAAAGGCCAGGTTCCTGTAAACTTAGCCCAAATAGTCATTTTCCCCACTGGGCAGAAAGAAAGCTAGACAAGACTTGGGGTGAAGGTCAGGAAGCTGTAGAGGTTGCAAAATTTTTCTTTTTTCTTTTTGTACTGGGGATCGAACTCTGGTCCTCCCACTTGCCAGGCAGAAGGCAGAACCACTGAACTAAATCCCCAGCCCAACTGTAGAGGGATTGAAAGACAATAAAATCCAAAAGGGCTCTTTTGGAAAAAGACGACTGCTTTTGTTTGTTTTGTTTTGTTTTGAGGATTGAACTCAGAGCTTTGCACATGCTAAGCTTGTACTCTACCACAGAGCTACACACCAGCCTCTGAAAAGGCAGCTACTTTAATAAATGCCTCCCAAGAACACTACAAACTAACTGCTGTGTGGATGGAGCAGGGGGAGAATTGGAATTGGGGCTCCAGCCCCACCACAGGTTTTCTGAGTGGCTCTTTTTTCTCTCACTGAGCTTCACCTGCAAAAAGAAAGGGGGGGGTGAATTAAGACTAATGTTCTCAGGGGCTGGGGTGTGACTTAGTAATAAGAGCACTTACTTAGCATGCTTGAAGCCCTGGGTTTGACTCTGGGGGGTGGGGGGCAGATGTGGCAGTGCATATCTGAAATCCCAGCACTTTGGGAGGCTCAGGCAGGAAAATCACCAGTTTGAGCCCAGCCTGAGCAATTTAGCTGCTTAGCAAAATAAAACATAAAAAAGCTCTAGAAACGTAGCTCAATGCAAAGAGTAAGCCGGGTGTGGTGGCGCACGCCTGTAATCCCAGCACTCGGGAGGCTGAGGCAGAAGGATCGCTGAGTTTGAGACCAGCCTGGGCTACATAGTGAGCTCCAGGTCAGTCTCAACTACATAGTGAGACCCTGTCTCAAAAAAAAACTAACGCTCTGCCTTTGACACGCTCAAGCTTTCTGATAAGGTCCACTGTAACAGAGAAACCCCCAACACTACTTTATCTCTCACCCATAACATGGCAACTTCCAAAACCTGGCCATTTAGCCAGCCTGGTTCTCAGATTTCCTATAAAATACTAGCCCTGCTGGACTCGTGTTATGAATGGAAACACAGAGGGCACTGCCATGGAGACTGAAAACGTGCCCAGCTTTAGCCAGAGGGATCTCTGGGGTCCACCCATTAAGTTTAGAGCTAAAAGCATTCTCTTAACTAAAATATCTGATTTTTACAGCCTGGGTGAACTCTATACCTACTTCTCTGGAGAAGGTCTAGAGGAATCCAGTTCTACTAGATTCCAGAGCCCAGGGCGAAAGGATGCTCAAGGCTGACTGCCAATAAAATACATAAAGTTCAATTACTTCGACTTGCAGGTAATTTTAATGTAAATTTGTCCCGTAGTATTTGAGATATACTTAAGAATTATTTATTGTTAATCCGAAATTGCAATTGAACTGGATAGCCTGCATCCTTCATTTTCTAAATCCTCCAGTTCTGCCAAAAGCTCCAGAGCCAAATGCCTAAATACCTAGAAGCCCAGGCCTGATTCCTCCCAGGCGCCAAGTGCGCTTACGCCACCTCCGGCTTTCACCTGCCCTTACATGACCCGGAAGTGACGTCATCCTCCGCTCTCGCGATGGAAAATGGCTGCCGCGTAAGGCTAGGCGACGTGAGAAGTAAAAGCCCTCTGCCTCTCGAGCCCACCGCTATTAGAGACAAGTATTGCTTCAGAAGGCCGTGCGGACCCTCTTTTGACACACTTACCGCTCGGCGGCTTTAGGCCCCGTTTCCAGTGTGTACCGGAAGTACACGCTAGTGGGCGGGGTGGAATCCGGAAGTGGATTTGGCCGGGGTGGGGCGTCAGGGAGCAGGGTGCTGGAATTACCGCCCTGTTACTTCTGACGGTCCCGAGATTTGATAGAAGTTCCCTTCAGGCCTCACTTATTTCATCTCTGCTGTGAATTTCCACTGGTTTGCAACAGCCCTTCCCCTTCTCACTGGATTGCAGTGATCCGTCCTTTCTTTATCCTATAGGATCAGTCGTTTAAATACATTACGAGCGCCCACTAGGTGCTCCCGGTAGACACTAGGCTGAACAAACGGATTGAGAGCCACTATTGCCCCTCAACCTTAGAGACATTAAATCATCTTCACTCTTCCTATGGCTGTAATCTCACAACTCATTGGTATTTCTTTCTCCCTTCAGCAAGAGATTTCTGATTCATGATCCTTGTAATCATGTGATTACACGCTGCTTGTAAACACAAATGGCCGTGGCCTTTCTAACTGCACCCCCTCTCACCGCCTGCTGTCCCCGCCTTGAGCCGAGCTTGATTCATAAGTCCTGACCAGATTCCAAAATCACAAGAATACACTGATGGAGAGGAGCAAAGGACAGAGTCTAAAAATCTCACTGAAACATGTCTCCCCACCTGTTGCCTTTGGCAGTTGCCGCCTCTCCCCATAGGTCTCTAAACCAGTCTCTTTCTTGTCACGAATTATCCCTACACATACATACACTTCCAGCTCTCTAAGAAAGATTTTTCTTTCTTATTATAATACAGAATATTTTATTCCCTCTCCCAAATGATCTCCCCCCTATCGTCAAAATAGGTACCTTTAGGAGGATTTCTCCTTTTTAATGTTGGGTTCAATATAAATACTTTAATTTTCATAGTTTTTCCTTGTTTATTCTAAGCTGACTTTATCCATCCATGCATTTATCATTCATTCTTCCATCGTTCAGCAACAGACCTTTCCTCAGTGCCTTTATGTGAGCCAACTGCTTCTGTCAGGCTGTAAGCAGGAGACTAATTGTAGTCATTTTTTAATCCCCCATTGCTGTCCAGAAGCTACTTACAAGAAGCATTTGACAACAGTAGGTTTAGTTGCCCCCTGGATGGTGAGCTCCTGCAATGTAGTAAGTTGCTCTAATTCACACCAGTATTTCTACTGCCCTGCATATGACCAGGCATAAATATAAGCTGGATTTTCTTCTTTCATTTTTTTATTCAATTAACAAAACAGAGGAGTCAGCTGCAAAGTGGAAAGGATTTCACAAAAGGATTAGGGATGATGAAAGTAGAAGGCATCAGGAAGCAATGGAATTTAGATCTTGAGAAAACAGACTTCTCAGGACACTTAGACACACATTGATAGTGGCAATGAATATTTGCACTTTGGCAATGAGCATCTATGTTGACAGGCATAGTGATGTATGTCTGTAAACACAGCTACTGGGGCGACTATACCAAGAGCACTTCAAGTTCAAGGACAACTTTAGCCATTTATTGAGACCCTGTCTCAAATTTTTTAAAAAATTACTTTTTTGGGGGGCTGAGGATTTGTCTCAGTGGTTTCACCACCTGCCTCTCAAGCATAGGGGCCTGAGTTCGATCCACAGTACCAAAAAATAATAATAATACTTTTTGTTTTGTTTTGTTTTGTTTTGTTTTTTAGGCAAGGTCTTACTATGTAGACCAGGCTGGCCTTGAACTCACACTGATCCTCCTGTTTTGGCCTACAGAATGCTGGAATTGTATGCATGTGCCACCATACTCAGCTCATAATAAAAATTTTTAAAGAGCTAGGAATATAGCTTGGTTGTAGAGTGCCTGCCTAGCATGAACAAGGCCCTAGATTCAACCCACAGCAGAAAAATGAAGGAAGGACTAAAAACCAATATCCATATTAAAAATATGATCTAAACATGGTGGTCCATGCCTGTAATCCCAGCATATGTGAGGCTGAAGCAGGAAGATCACAAGTTGGAGGCCAGCCTGGGCTACATAGAAAGTTCTAGGTCAGCCTGAACTACATATAGAGACCTTGTCTGAAAAATAAAAGAAAAACCTGGTATGTCAGGCACAATGGCACATGCCCTTATCTCAGGTACTCAGGAAGCTCAGACCATGGGTTCAATCCCCACTACCAAAATAATAAGGCTACATGCATATTACTTTTTTGAGATGCTAGGCAATTAGTAAAAAAAGTGGAAGAGGTCATTTGATTACATGTAGAATATAAGCTTCCTGTTATTCAAGCAAGCTAAAAGGCAATGACAGTAAGGAAGGACTTGCAGAATTGATTTATTCCAATCAAACTTTAATTTAAATGTTCCCTTTTAGGTGGGCC